GGGCAGCCACAGCTTCTCGGGGCAACCTGCCCCAGGGGATCACCGCCCTCAGAGTAAAGAATTTCATCCTAATATCTCATCTCAATCTCCCCTCTTTCAGTGTAAAACCATTCCCCCTCATCCCATCGCTCCAATCCCCAATCAAGAGTCCCTCCCCACCTTTCCCGTAGCCCCTTTAGGCACTGGGAGGCCACAGCGGTGCTCCCACTAACGCAGAACAGCCCCTTTGTGGCGCTGGGGACAGGGCCCCGGCCAGGGATGAGCACCCTCACACCGGGGCTTTCGGGGTGCCCGGGGGATGGAGGTGTCGGTGCCTCCAGCACACAGCGGCGTCTCCCAGAGCTCCCACCTCACACCTCTCCTCAGTGTCACCGCCGGCCACTGCCAGCCAACGCGCCCCAGCGGGGGTGTGCGCCAGACCGTCCGCGCCACGGGTGTATCTGTGAGCTTCCACGGGCAGCAGACCTGCACACAAGCTCATCGCACTGACGTTACCAGGTATTTGCAATCCCCACGGCTACCCCTATTATTTCTCAACTAACGAGCCTCTTGTTTTCCCCCCGCTGCATTTGGAGCCACTTCGACGCCGAATATTTTAAAGACCACAGCACGACTACAAATAGGGCAGGCTATTTCTGGAGCTACTGCAAAGGAATCAAAAAACAACCGCAAACAGAATGTCAACGTTTCATGAAGAGGAGGAGTTTAATATTCCTCCTCAATATACGCCGCAACAACAGCTGTATTCTGCCAGAGCAACGTTTCATTGTTCACAGTGATTTGGCACAAAACACGAGTGAACACAAAATGTTAAAGGATTAAGTACAATGTTGGTAAAAAAAGACATGAAAGATGCAGCTATTAAAAAAATTGCTCCAATCATTAAAAGCGTCACCAATTAGAAAAGAAATATGTTTAACTACCATGGAACAAATTCTTTTCTCCTTGTAGAGTTTACCCTGGCATGGAAACAATTGCTTTCCTGGCCAACATCATGGATTTTCCTTGACCAAGCAGTAGCAGCAGTTAATTAAACGCATACTGGTAAGGAAGTGTAAACTCTTCAGATTCACTTTTATAATTAAGAAACAGGCAGAGATGTTTGTTTCCAATACAGGTCCTTTTAATCAGCCAATGCATAAGGGAAAGCAGTAAAGTGGAATTAGACATGGCAAGCTGATCAACTTTAGAGACTGTATTCTCAAAGGAATTTTTATCACTATCGTCATAAAGCGTTAACTCCTTTTTGATGAGAGGCATGAGGAACTCTTTCTAATTTAGTGATTTGATCCCTGATTTTGTCAATGAAGATCTCAGTGCAGGACTGAGGCCATAATTCCACAGAAGATTTGTCATACACCCGGAGTGGGAGAGAGGCCACTGGTTCATGGAAGCTCTGGAGCTTCTCAGCACGTTGATGTATTTACAAAAAAGGGACAAGGATCATGGAAATTTTACTTCTAACGCAGCAGAGTATGATTTATACACTTCTTCCTTCAGCCCTCAGCTCTCAAGAAAAATCTTGCACTCACTAATACTCTCTTGCCTGTTCCTACTGATGTCATTGGCAAAACTCCTTATTTAAGGAGGCGGACTTCGGATCCAAAATGCCTCGGATTGGTCAAAGGTTTAAAGAAGACAGAAGGATCCAGCTGTACCAACCCAGCACCTGCAAGCTCTCCTGACGTGACCTAGGATCTACCAGCAGCTCTACACACACCAGCGTTCCTACAGGCTAAACACCACTGGCAATAAGCACCCCTGGATGCTTGTGAAATGATGCTGGCGGGGGGAAACCTCCCCGAAGCAGTCCTGTCGTGCTGGTAAAGGAAGTGAATTTTTTGTCAACAGAAATCGTGTTGATGCTCCAGCTTCTGCTGATGCGGCAGCGTTTGTCAGAGCGCGCTGCCCCTGCACACCTTGGGCTTTTTCAACCCATCATACTGGTTCAAGGAGCTGCTCTCGCTCTACTAACGCAAGGCCAGCCTGTACTGGTGTAGCTATCTGTGGCAGACTTTCATCCCCTCCACACGTAGCTACACGTAACAGAAGTGTTAAGACAAGATCAAACATTGCCGCCCCGCACGCGAAGAGGAGCGCTGCGCAGAGCTCAGCCTTCACCGCCAGAGGAAGAGTTTCTTGGGAGGGCGCTGGGGCAAGCACAAGCTGGAGCAAGAGCTGCACTAAGACCCACGGAAGATGAGTTTCTACAAGCCTGGCTTTTGCAGTGTTAAGACGTTACCACCTCCCTTCCTCTGCCAGAGCCTTATCTGGGAGCAGAGTCAGCACGAGAGCATGTCCTTGGCCCTCAAGTGCTGCTGTTCGCAGCCCGGAGCCATACCTCAAACTTCCTTTCATTAGCTTGGTAACGCACGAGGCTTTGTTTTCCACGTCTCAGCAGCAGATTCTTTCTCTGCCTTCAGAGAGGGATCCATCAAAACTGACTTCTCCAAAACAGCAAATGGGGCCAGTCTCCAACCGCACCACAAAGCAGCTCTAAGGCACTGATCACAAAGGTTATTCGAGCACTCCTTTGAGCCACCTCACCATGATTTCTGGCTAGAAAAAAAGGACTGGAACCATAATGCTGGTTTTCCTATTCTTCCTCAATTTGACAATAATTTTACCATATGACTGACTAGGCCCAGACTCAGCAAACACAGGACAAGAAGCAGAACTTCATCCCATCTCTTTTTTAACCCTCTTTAAGATAACTTGGCGAAAGTGAAATCCTCCTCTAACCTGCACACAGAGGAATTGCTTCCGCTCAGATCTACGTGACTGATGCTTCTGATCCAAATAAGACACTTTTTTCTCCATATTAAATACCTAAATGGAAGTTGTTTAGCTTCATCCACCCCTTCCCACTTTAAAAAAAAAATAAAAAATTGAATTAACTTAGAATGCTGGTGTAAAGGCAGCACTAACATGGCATAAGCAAGGCCCTGCCCTGAGCAGATGGATTTGACAAGCTCCTCCAGACTCCAAAACCAGCTTCTTCAAGGGCCCTTTATTCAAATTCCTGAGTATATCTGAAGTCAGATTGCTAATAGTCCTTGAAAAAAAAAAAATCCCAAACAAAAAAACACCCTAAAACAACCCCAAGATCCCCTCCAAACCCCCAAACAACCAGCATATAGCAGGAATTCAGTAATTTCACTGCAAGTTTTTGGTCTCTACACAATGCAGAAAATGGGCACGAGTTGTTTTGCAATAGGGTTATTTATTGCAGCTTGTTTAAAAAAAAAAAACAACAAACCACCTCAGCACTCTCTGTCCCAAACTCAGATACAACATAAAACCACTGGTAGGACAGCTATCCTTAAGGAAGTGTCCAAAAGAATGCAGGACACTAAAGAAATTCTTCACTTTTCAAAAGATTAACACTGCCACCTACTAAAGAAAGCCAAAATAGATAAGTAGGTCACCACCTCCAAGGAAACATTCCCTGGCTAGGAACAACAAAAGATAGAGGAGACAACTGAAGTCACATTTTTCTTCTGCCTCGCTTCACTATTCAGTTATTATCCAGAGCCTTCAGCTTGCTGGAGACTTTTTTTTTGGGGGGGGGAGATCATTCAGTTAAATTGTGACAGATCACACGCGTTACATAAGCTGCTGCGTATCAGTAACTACTCCAAATGCAGAGTGGGATTTCGGACCCTATTCACCAGTTTGGTCATGGCTTAAACCAAGATTCAGTAGTAAAAGGACCAGTTTATGCGTGCTATGCGAGTTACCTGTCAGTCTGCTATGACTAGGAGATGGGTATTTACATCAGTGACTTCTCGGCACAAAACGTGATCCCAGGGCTACAGCAGTTCGGCGTAGTCAGACACACGCTGATGGGTGAAACGGTTCATGAACTGAGTGATAGCTGAGATACCCAAAATACTGTAAAGCACCCTCACCCCGGTACTGCAGGACTGACCACTTTACAGACCTCAAAAATTATTTCTGACCTTCCTGGTCATCAACACTACCTAAAAAATAAGACACAGTCTATAAATTAATGCCCAAGCCTGAAAACACACAGAAAACAAACGCTGAACAAACAGATTATCTCAGCTGTTTGAGCCACCTTGTGTCTACCCCGTAACTTCATGCTCTGAAATCCAGAAAAGTGTCCAAGTCAACACCGACAATTTTACTAAAGGCTCCAAAACTGCACTGCAGCCAGGTGCCTGGAGTACCCCCTAACCTGCTGGGATCACCCGTAAATTCTTAGTCTATCCCTCAGTGTTGAACTGGACAGTATCACACGTTCCTACTACCGCTTGTAATTTTGAAAGAGCAGGGCTAAACACGGGTTGTGTGTCTCCGAGCAGAAACCTGTAAGTCAGGAGTGATCCCCCACCAGCACAAGAAACAGCATCCCCTAATAACACTGCACTTACTCAAGGTTCTTTCTTTAATTGTACAGTACGTTTCATGCCTGTGGGCTGTCCCTCTTGCTCAGGTGCACTTTAGGAGAAATTCCTTTCCAGGCAGGTAAAACACTTCTGCCACAAGCAGTCTGAGGCCAGACGAGCGAGGAGGCTGAAGCGCAAGCAGGCAGCTACACTACCTGCAAGCTCCCCCTTCTCTGCGGGACAAATGAGACTGGGGAAGGAAGCAGGCTCCCCGCTCCAGCAGTGAGCTGGATCAAGCTACCCGAGCACACAAAGAAAATGCAGTGCCAGTGTGCATCGTTTCTGAATCTGGGCTATGGCGTTCTGCACGTCGCTAAGACTCTTCAGCACAAGCCAGAGTTGCGTCTCTCACACACGTGACGAGTATCTTCAACGCAGACGTTTTGCACAAATTCTTGAGCTCTGCATGCAATTACAAGGCTCTTTCAAGGCTACAAAAATAACCCCTTTATTATTTCGGAGGAACCTTTTTTCGTCCTTAGTGGCCATCAATAAAAAATTACTAAAGGAAGATCCCAGATCAAATTGGCTACCGAATTGTGACAGTATGAGAGCTGCAACAGGCAGTCTTGATGGCCTTCCTCGGCCGCAACGCTTCTCTGCCTGAAACAAAAAGGAAGTAGTAGGAAAATGCTCCAACATACGAGGCAATTATGAGTACATTCCACATGCACTTAGACTAAATCCTTGCTTAGAGAAAGCAACAGGTGAGTAAAAATATTCCTAGGAAGGTTCTGTTTTTTGAAGAAAAACTCAATCATAAAAATAATTAAAATCTTCAGAAGGAAAAGACATAACACAAAACCAGTCACTGATGACACTTTTTAATTTGATATGGCCAGACTTTTTCAAAGTTAACTTGTAAAACCAACAGAATAAGACAGAACTAGAGGATAAGCAAGTTTCATATTTACAGTCATTCAAAAGTAATAGTGTAAAAGCATAACTCAAATAGTGGCGACAGAAGCATGGAAACATACAAAGAATAATCGTTTTTTAGAACATTATTAGAATTTTATTATATTATCTTCTTATCTATTAAAAGAATCTGTTGCATTTTTTACTGCCTGATTCTAATTCACCCAATCCTCCTCAAAACGACTTGTGATACAAAAAAAAAAAGCCACTTTTCCTGCTTGTAAACAACAAAACCACCTACTTTTGTTTTTCCAGACATAATTGAAGTGGCACAGCAGAGTTAACACTAATTCCATTCTTTACCATTAAATTAAAAAAACAGTTGGGCAAAGGGAAAAAAAAAACAGACCAAGTCAGTGTAATCATTCAGTTGGATTCTGGATGACAATCAGGAAATAGTCTTTATCTGGAGGAAAAAAAAAAGAAAAAAAATCTTTAATTGCTGATATTTGTTCATAGCAACATTAAATTTCAACATTTTTTCACATCTCACCAATACAGAGTGGGAACTAGAGAGTCCTGACATTCATTCCCAATGAACAAAACAGGCTGAGCATGTCAGACCACTTATTTTCATGAGTCTTACTGAGAAAACGTCTCAGCCTTAGAAACTGCATGCTCCCAAGCCAACTGAATAGAACTCAGTTTCTGCCTAGGAAACAATAGCAACAGGCACATGCAATGACTGACTCAAAACAGGTGGTGCAAGACAGCGATTTCCTTATCTCACGGGCAGACTGCTGGGCTGCAGTGGCTGTAGCTGCATTTTTTCTGGAGCAATGCTTATACCTCCCTTTTCATCCTTCAAATGGAAATGAGCGGCTGCCTCAGCATAAACCCCCGAGTCTGTCTTAAGATCTGCCCTGACCAGTCCCAGTGGAGCAGGAGCGACTGCAATACCCTCCTTTGCCTCCGCATCGGCACAACCCCACCATGGAGCCGATGCAGTGCGAAGGTACAAAGCTGAGTTCCTGCCACGGTATTGAACTGTACTCATCTCATTGCTACCCATTTCATAATTTGTTGAAATACTGAGGACGTTTCCTGAAAAGAAGGTCGCTGCTGCTTTATTCTGCTACTCATGATTACATCTACAATATGCTCTATTACATTTCTCTGAGCTGGAAAATCTATTAGACTGTTTTGCTTTATCACTTAGCCTACAGCACTGAACTGAAATTGCTCTCAAAACAAATTCCTTTCTAACTCTTGTGGTTTTATACTAAAAAACACAAAGCAGAAGAGGCTGCAACATGCTCTCAAACACTATTTAACACTTTCTACTTTGATCAACATGAAACGAGGAAAGTGATTTCCCACATTCAAACATAAAAAAGCAAACCTAGGTCAATGATAAAAGCTTTCAGCTCTGAAGAAAGCAAACCAGCTTCTTGGAAAAGAAGAAATTACACAACATGAAGAAAAGCAGCAGGCAGAACTTTTCTTTCACGCTGACAATGTCAATCTCAGGAGAAAAGAATGCTGCGGGATTCCCTGATGCCTGCTTTCACCCCACTCGTTTATACCTGGTGCAACCATGATTTCGTTTTTCTTGGAGCGGATCCGCAGGAATGTGAGGTCGTTCTGGGGATCAATGTCTCGCACAGTGCTCCTTGCCTTCATGATGAAGCTGTGCATGAGGCCCGCGTACTGAATCGTTGTGGAGTTGTCCATAGTACTTTTGATAGGAATACCTGCATGAAACAGGGGACAGCAAGGGTCAGGGACAAAACTCCAGAACTAACTCTGCCTTGGGCATCATGAGGTCCAGCTAGTTAACCTCAGGGTGGCTAGTTAACCTCAGCAGATGTTATCGCTACACCAGAGATTAGGAGTTTTCTTTCTAAAGGCTTAAAAGCCTTTAACATGAACAGAAATAAGATGTGGAAAGGCTTAGATCTGGAACCACAGGTGCAGGTGAGAACAACTGTTTACCTCTAGTAGCATCAGGGCTTTACTTTTGCTTTTGCATTTATTTATTTATGAGATTTATAAATAGAAATAATTAATAACAAAAATAAGTATTTGGGGAGGAGAGAGGAAATACCAATTTGTCAATTTTGTTCTCCTGACTGGGGACAGCCTTTCCTTTCACAAAGGCTCCTGAACCTCACAGTTCAATGATAATCAAGTAAGCTGGGCTGGGATCGGTGCTGATGATGGAGGACATCAGCTGCTGCATCACACAGTGACAAGGCTGATGCTCTGACATTTAGCCAGAAGACTTGATGCAGTCCTGCGGGGTCCCTGGTTCAATTCCTGTGCACCAGCCAAGAGGACAGACACCCTGACGCTGTTTGGCCAGAGCTTTCCCTCCTGTATAGTTCTGCCACCCATTAGTCATGCTTTCCCACAAAAAGCCAGCCAAAATTCAGCTCACATGTCAGAACAATGCAACAGTCAACTACCAAATACCACCACGGCAGAAAAACTGCTGCAGGTCACAGCATCCCAAACTGGTGGGGGTTGGAAGAGCCCTCTGGAGCTCCCCCAGTCCACCCCCCGCCAGAGCAGGGGCACCTCCAGCAGTGGCACAGGACGGCGTCCAGGAGGGTTTGGAATGGCTCCAGAGGGGGAGACTCCCCCACCTCTCTGGGCAGCCTCTGCCACTGCTCTGCCGCCCTCACAGCAGAGAAGGCCCTCCTCAGGTTGAGATGGAACTTCCTGTGTTCAAGTTTGTGCCCGTTCCCTCTTGTCCTGTCACTGGGCACTGCTGAAAAAAGACTGTTCCCATCCCCTGGCACCCTCCCGTTGAGTATTGATAAGCATTGATAAGATCCCCACTCAGTCTTCTTCTCTCCAGACTAAAAAGCCCCAAGTCCCTCAGGCTTTCCTCGTAAGAAAGATGCTCCAGTCCCCTCATCATCTTTGTAGCCCTTTGCTGGACCCTCTCCAGCAGCTCCCTGTCCTTGAACAGGGGAGCCCAGAACTGGACACAGTGCTCCAGATGCGGCCTCACCAGGGCAGAGCAGAGGTCTAAGTTCAAATAAGCGCAGCTTCAGCCTGGAGAGCCCAATCCAATTATTCACTATCATGAAAAAGCAGCGAGCAGGAACACAAGCTGCATACAAGTACACAATGATCTCATCTTCAATATATTCATATATAGCTGCTATCTGTCATCTTTTCTCAGGATTATTTCTAGGAAATACTCAATTTAAATTGATAATCACACAATTTTCAGAAGTTGGGCTGCTCACAGTGTATTCAGAGCGCTCTGAACGAGTCTGCTCTGTTGGACCCTTCAATGACTCCAGAAAGAGACAACTAGCTTACGAGTCTCGGGAAGCCACGAGCATGAGACAGCGGCTAAGCTACTCGAGTCTGCCAAGACTGCGGCATTCTGGACATGCACAGCAGCAAGATCCAAGATATCATGAGAGCTTTTAGTGCTACTGATAAAGGGTTTGACAGAACACAGTCTCAAACACTGGCATAACTCAAATGTTTCTAAGCTTTTGCAATTTATTTTAATTTATTTATTTCTTAAGATAATAAAGTGAGCTTGCAGAAAAGCAGGAAAGGGAATCCATTTTTCTCTTGTAGCCTAACTACTGTCCATCTGCTTTAGCTACAGGAAGACTTTTGCTAAAGACAGACTGTAATCTCAACACAAGCAGTACAATCAGCGTTCCTTAAAGTGCATGTTTAGAATAAGTTTTATCTCAGAAAACCAAGACTGACACAGTACCTTCAGAATTAACAACAATGATTCCTTGTACTCCTTTTTGGCTCTGAATACGCTTCAGTGTTTCTTCCACCTCAGCCTGCAAACAGAGAAAGCACAAATCAAAAAGATTACAGCTGCTGTTTGCCTTCCATCAAAGCTTTGTAATAATGCGTCTGAAAATAAAGCTGCACGAAGATGATTCAAACAGGTACTACCTACATCGTTCTATAGAGCGAAGTGTCTGTACTATGTGGTACTACCTTTTCTGCATGACCTTTTCAGTTGTTTTCCATCTGGTTTTGCTCTTCACTCATTTGTGATTACAAGCTTGCAGAAATTTGGAACTCCCCTCTAAGCTTTCCCTCTCTCCTCCGCCCCAGCCCTCCCACAACCTCACACATCAGTTCCTTACTGTAGGCTCGTAACTGGAACACTGCTTAGTCAGACTGCTACAATTTAGGTGTCAAGCAAAAATCATTTGTGAAAAAAACACATAGAATTTATGAAAAAAAGTAGAAAATGATACATTCTGGGTGCAAGACTACCTTCCCTTTTATCAAATGAACACTAAGAGCAATTACAAATAAGAAAACTGAGGGGAAAAACAATGAGTAAATGCTATTTATTTATAATTATGAGTTGTGCTGGCATAGCTACAAGATTATAAACACTCACAATAATTTACAGCTTTGCAAAAGAAAAAGAAAAAAGGAAAAATGAAAACTGAAAGCCAAAGCAGGAGTCCTTTTGCCTTCTCTCTAAAAATTACTGTAAACTTCAGAAGAGCTTTCAAACCCTTCTGCACAACTTCCATTGCTACAAGACATCAATCAAAATGTAACTATGGGTTCTCTAACAGGGTCATAAAACCTCAGCGTCTGAGCTGTTTTCCACAGCTGGGTGAATATTTGGCATTTTTTATTCCCATCAAAGGAAACAGAGACATGCAGCATCTTTCAGATCCTGCAAGAGAGTCCCACAGAAACAGTCTAGGAGGGAAAACAGGAACCGTCTGAACTCAGGAAAGGTGAGACCTGTACGGGGCATCTGGCCAAGGCAAAATGTGTGTCGTAGGCATTGTGAATAACCCTCTCTCCACTTTCCCCCCGCAGCAAGTGAGCAGTCATGTTACAAGCCCTGTTGCCTGGGAAAAGGGCTTGTCCTAACAAAACAACACGGCCTCAACTTCTGAACCAGCAGCAAACTTTCTGCACAGCGCTGTTAGCGTAAGTAGCCTGGAGTAACACAAACTGTTGCTGATAAGAGATGGTACCACCCGAGTTTGTCTTCACGAAGCAGAGTTTTTCTGTCTTATCCAGAACAGAAAAATTCAGTCTTTTCAACAAAGCTCTTGATTATTTCTGAATGATGGACTATTTACAAATGGAAGACAAGGGAAGTGAAACAAAGAACAAACTACAGAGTGCACAAATGCTGAGAGAAATGTGGTGGCACACTATTAAGCCTGAAATAATTTCCTGACTTCTTACTAGCAGTATTTAAGTCCCAATTCATTAAACACTTTATTCGTTGGTCCTTAACAAACTTATTTGGATGCAAAGAAGCATCTATACAGAACGATACCCATTTTTAATTTCTTCTAACAACCAACAGATACTGTAACTCACAAGGCAGGTGATCTGCTCTAACAGGTCACTGTTGTTGACATGGGAAGGTCTTGCTCCCCCTACTCTTACTCCCTGACACACACACACTCTGGCGCTTGTCTAACACCTCTGCAAGCCAGTTCGACTCACCAGAGCAGCAAAAATATTACTGAGAAAAAAATTACATATTTAACTCATGAAACAAACAAAAACTATCTTAATACAGGACTGAATAACTACCACAAGAGAGAGTATATGGGGAAGGAGAGATGCACTCAGAAAAGCAGAATACTCCCCCATCACCAATTTGCTCTTGTGTAACCTTTGCTGTATATACAATACAATCGCCTTTATCTTCCTGTTTTCATCTAGAAAGGTTCAGCTCCTAGGTTCACCTGAAAATTATGTCTTATTAGGCCATTTCAATTTTCCATCTACAACTTAGCACAGTATTTATTTCTTTAGAATTTTTTCCACGTATTTTGATCCCAAATTTCAAGAACGTGCGCTAGCCAAGAATACATTTGGACAGAGAGTAACCTCCAATACGATTACAATAAAATAAATACCTTCCAGGTTCCAAACACTATTATACAGCCACTTGTCTTAAAATTGTCTTTTTTCCTGATTGCTTTCAGCTTTACGGACTGTAACCTGGCAGCCATAAGAAACACAAAAAAAAAACCACAACCCCCCTCCCCCCCCCCCTGCCGTTTTGCAGCGCGTTTCAGCGCCTGACAGAATTAACGGGAGGTTTACGGCAATCACACGCTTTCTACCGCCACGATTTCGGGGCAAAAGGCTACTG